GCAAAGCCTATAAAACCTGCGCGGATCAAACTAGGCTTAAATGAAAGGTCTCTCCGAGCACTTTCAGCCCATATATAGGTTATAGTCCAAAACCGTTTCAGAGACCCAAATTGGACCCATCCTTAATAATAATAAGGTCCTAACAGATTGAACCACTGTGCAAAGCCTATAAAACCTGCGCGGATCAAACTAGGCTTAAATGAAAGGTCTCTCCGAGCACTTTCAGCCCATATATAGGTTATAGTCCAAAACCGTTTCAGAGACCCAAATTGGACCCATCCTTAATAATAATAAGGTCCTAACAGATTGAACCACTGTGCAAAGCCTATAAAACCTGCGCGGATCAAACTAGGCTTAAATGAAAGGTCTCTCCGAGCACTTTCAGCCCATATATAGGTTATAGTCCAAAACCGTTTCAGAGACCCAAATTGGACCCATCCTTAATAATAATAAGGTCCTAACAGATTGAACCACTGTGCAAATCCTATAAAACCTGCGCGGATCAAACTAGGCTTAAATGAAAGGTCTCTCCGAGCACTTTCAGCCCATATATAGGTTATAGTCCAAAACCGTTTCAGAGACCCAAATTGGACCCATCCTTAATAATAATAAGGTCCTAACAGATTGAACCACTGTGCAAAGCCTATAAAACCTGCGCGGATCAAACTAGGCTTAAATGAAAGGTCTCTCCGAGCACTTTCAGCCTATATATAGGTTATAGTCCAAAACCGTTTCAGAGACCCAAATTGGACCCATCCTTAATAATAATAAGGTCCTAACAGATTGAACCACTGTGCAAAGCCTATAAAACCTGCGCGGATCAAACTAGGCTTAAATGAAAGGTCTCTCCGAGCACTTTCAGCCCATATATAGGTTATAGTCCAAAACCGTTTCAGAGACCCAAATTGGACCCATCCTTAATAATAATAAGGTCCTAACAGATTGAACCACTGTGCAAAGCCTATAAAACCTGCGCGGATCAAACTAGGCTTAAATGAAAGGTCTCTCCGAGCACTTTCAGCCCATATATAGGTTATAGTCCAAAACCGTTTCAGAGACCCAAATTGGACCCATCCTTAATAATAATAAGGTCCTAACAGATTGAACCACTGTGCAAAGCCTATAAAACCTGCGCGGATCAAACTAGGCTTCAATGAAAGGTCTCTCCGAGCACTTTCAGCCCATATATAGGTTATAGTCCAAAACCGTTTCAGAGACCCAAATTGGACCCATCCTTAATAATAATAAGGTCCTAACAGATTGAACCACTGTGCAAAGCCTATAAAACCTGCGCGGATCAAACTAGGCTTAAATGAAAGGTCTCTCCGAGCACTTTCAGCCCATATATAGGTTATAGTCCAAAACCGTTTCAGAGACCCAAATTGGACCCATCCTTAATAATAATAAGGTCCTAACAGATTGAACCACTGTGCAAAGCCTATAAAACCTGCGCGGATCAAACTAGGCTTAAATGAAAGGTCTCTCCGAGCACTTTCAGCCTATATATAGGTTATAGTCCAAAACCGTTTCAGAGACCCAAATTGGACCCATCCTTAATAATAATAAGGTCCTAACAGATTGAACCACTGTGCAAAGCCTATAAAACCTGCGCGGATCAAACTAGGCTTAAATGAAAGGTCTCTCCGAGCACTTTCAGCCTATATATAGGTTATAGTCCAAAACCGTTTCAGAGACCCAAATTGGACCCATCCTTAATAATAATAAGGTCCTAACAGATTGAACCACTGTGCAAAGCCTATAAAACCTGCGCGGATCAAACTAGGCTTAAATGAAAGGTCTCTCCGAGCACTTTCAGCCCATATATAGGTTATAGTCCAAAACCGTTTCAGAGACCCAAATTGGACCCATCCTTAATAATAATAAGGTCCTAACAGATTGAACCACTGTGCAAAGCCTATAAAACCTGCGCGGATCAAACTAGGCTTCAATGAAAGGTCTCTCCGAGCACTTTCAGCCCATATATAGGTTATAGTCCAAAACCGTTTCAGAGACCCAAATTGGACCCATCCTTAATAATAATAAGGTCCTAACAGATTGAACCACTGTGCAAAGCCTATAAAACCTGCGCGGATCAAACTAGGCTTAAATGAAAGGTCTCTCCGAGCACTTTCAGCCTATATATAGGTTATAGTCCAAAACCGTTTCAGAGACCCAAATTGGACCCATCCTTAATAATAATAAGGTCCTAACAGATTGAACCACTGTGCAAAGCCTATAAAACCTGCGCGGATCAAACTAGGCTTAAATGAAAGGTCTCTCCGAGCACTTTCAGCCTATATATAGGTTATAGTCCAAAACCGTTTCAGAGACCCAAATTGGACCCATCCTTAACGGTTTTGGACTATAACCTATATATGGGCTGAAAGTGCTCGGAGAGACCTTTCATTTAAGCCTAGTTTGATCCGCGCAGGTTTTATAGGCTTTGCACAGTGGTTCAATCTGTTAGGACCTTATTATTATTAAGGATGGGTCCAATTTGGGTCTCTGAAACGGTTTTGGACTATAACCTATATATGGGCTGAAAGTGCTCGGAGAGACCTTTCATTTAAGCCTAGTTTGATCCGCGCAGGTTTTATAGGCTTTGCACAGTGGTTCAATCTGTTAGGACCTTATTATTATTAAGGATGGGTCCAATTTGGGTCTCTGAAACGGTTTTGGACTATAACCTATATATAGGCTGAAAGTGCTCGGAGAGACCTTTCATTTAAGCCTAGTTTGATCCGCGCAGGTTTTATAGGCTTTGCACAGTGGTTCAATCTGTTAGGACCTTATTATTATTAAGGATGGGTCCAATTTGGGTCTCTGAAACGGTTTTGGACTATAACCTATATATGGGCTGAAAGTGCTCGGAGAGACCTTTCATTTAAGCCTAGTTTGATCCGCGCAGGTTTTATAGGCTTTGCACAGTGGTTCAATCTGTTAGGACCTTAGTATTATTAAGGATGGGTCCAATTTGGGTCTCTGAAACGGTTTTGGGCTATAACCTATATATGGGCTGAAAGTGCTCGGAGAGACCTTTCATTTAAGCCTAGTTTGATCCGCGCAGGTTTTATAGGCTTTGCACAGTGGTTCAATCTGTTAGGACCTTATTATTATTAAGGATGGGTCCAATTTGGGTCTCTGAAACGGTTTTGGACTATAACCTATATATGGGCTGAAAGTGCTCGGAGAGACCTTTCATTTAAGCCTAGTTTGATCCGCGCAGGTTTTATAGGCTTTGCACAGGGGTTCAATCTGTTAGGACCTTATTATTATTAAGGATGGGTCCAATTTGGGTCTCTGAAACGGTTTTGGACTATAACCTATATATAGGCTGAAAGTGCTCGGAGAGACCTTTCATTTAAGCCTAGTTTGATCCGCGCAGGTTTTATAGGCTTTGCACAGTGGTTCAATCTGTTAGGACCTTATTATTATTAAGGATGGGTCCAATTTGGGTCTCTGAAACGGTTTTGGACTATAACCTATATATGGGCTGAAAGTGCTCGGAGAGACCTTTCATTTAAGCCTAGTTTGATCCGCGCAGGTTTTATAGGATTTGCACAGTGGTTCAATCTGTTAGGACCTTATTATTATTAAGGATGGGTCCAATTTGGGTCTCTGAAACGGTTTTGGACTATAACCTATATATGGGCTGAAAGTGCTCGGAGAGACCTTTCATTTAAGCCTAGTTTGATCCGCGCAGGTTTTATAGGCTTTGCACAGTGGTTCAATCTGTTAGGACCTTATTATTATTAAGGATGGGTCCAATTTGGGTCTCTGAAACGGTTTTGGACTATAACCTATATATGGGCTGAAAGTGCTCGGAGAGACCTTTCATTTAAGCCTAGTTTGATCCGCGCAGGTTTTATAGGCTTTGCACAGTGGTTCAATCTGTTAGGACCTTATTATTATTAAGGATGGGTCCAATTTGGGTCTCTGAAACGGTTTTGGACTATAACCTATATATAGGCTGAAAGTGCTCGGAGAGACCTTTCATTTAAGCCTAGTTTGATCCGCGCAGGTTTTATAGGCTTTGCACAGTGGTTCAATCTGTTAGGACCTTATTATTATTAAGGATGGGTCCAATTTGGGTCTCTGAAACGGTTTTGGACTATAACCTATATATGGGCTGAAAGTGCTCGGAGAGACCTTTCATTTAAGCCTAGTTTGATCCGCGCAGGTTTTATAGGATTTGCACAGTGGTTCAATCTGTTAGGACCTTATTATTATTAAGGATGGGTCCAATTTGGGTCTCTGAAACGGTTTTGGACTATAACCTATATATGGGCTGAAAGTGCTAATTTGTATTCAAGCTATTTTATTACCGAAGTAATAAATTTTTATATAATAATTAACAAATAATTATATTATTCAAAATTTTCTTTTTTACTCAGTCTTTAACAAAGCTCTGTTAAGTCCTTAACAGAGCTCTGTTAAGTAACTGTGTCTGTTAACATCCAATTTAACTTTCCAATTTATCTTCACACCCATGAATGAAAAATGTATGCTCGTAAATTTTTACGATAACTCTTTTTGCTAAAGGCTTTTGACTTAATCAGTGGAAAAAGTTACTGACCTTTAAGGACATTTATCATTGCGATTGGCTTGGTGGCATTTTGAGAAGAGAAAAAATGTTGGAAAACATGCAAAAGGGCTTGGCTGGCTTCACAGTAAATATAAGGTGTTACCATTATACAAATATTCATATGTACACATGTATGTATATAAATGGTACATAAATACCGACAAAACGAACAAACGAACATAAATGACTTTTGTTCTTAAAAAATTTACAAGAAAGTTTACGATACGAGATATGTAGGTGTAAAAATATATATGGAGTTTTTGCAAACAATTTTTAAAAAAATACATATGTACAATTTCAATTTACAATATTTACTAATCCTTATACACATACGAACATTACAAACTGTTCATTATATATAAAAGGATTACTATTTTATAAAAATAATTCAATATCCTTTCCTTAATATTATTACCTTTCTGTAAATCCATATCATCCATTTCAGAATTTTTGATTTGTTGTAATTTTTCGCGAAATTTCTTTGTGATCTGTTTTCTTTGATAGTCAGCTTCGATTTCTTGTTTTGTTCGGGGTATTCGAAAGCGTACACAACAACACACCATTATGACTACAACGAAAAAAAAAAACAAATTGTAGAGAATTTAAATTCTATAACCGTTAATTTTTGGTTTTGGTATCCTCTCATATTACTTATGCTCATTATTATTCCCAAACATATGGCAATAATGTGCCAAACACGAAATCCTCCAATTGTGGTCTTTTCTAGCCATGTTGAGTCGGGGTTTACTTCCAAAAAATCTTGATCCTCGTCGCTCATATTAAAATTTGGATTTTCTTTTTAAATTAACAGCAGAAAAATATAACTTATTTTGATTTTTTTTTGTTTATTTTTCTTATTATCCTTTTTTGTAGTTTTCTTTCGTTTTGTGATGTTTTTGTTTCAAAAGTTCGTAGCAGACTGAAATTTGAATAAAATTCTAAATGTGTTATGACCTATCCTTTGGCGGATGTGTGTGCATGTGTATTGGCCACTTAGGTTATCATAAAGATTTATTTTAAATACAGGGTGTGCCGATAGCTTATGTCTATTTTTAGGTCGGTAGAAATTGAATGAAGGAATTTGTTAAGAAATTGAGAATTTTCACAGTCGGGAAAGAAATTTAAAATTTAGGAATAGTAATGATATAAAAGAGTAGTGAAATAACTGACTGACTGAGAATCGGTGCCCAGACGAAACGGACAGGACAAAAAGTAGAATGTACGAAAAATTAAATACTTTGTATTAGACAAAAGGTATGAGCTAGAATCACAAATTTGTAATGAGAATCACCGATAGAGGTAGGATAGATGTGTGTGTGTTTTTTTTTTTTGAAAATTCGAGCTTTGAGGCTACGAAAAGTTCTAAGATGGTACTAAACTTCTAAAATGGTACAATTTGATATAATGTGAACGAATAGAGCTAAACACATGAAATTTGATATGAGAATCAAAGGTTGGAAAGTTAATTTGAGGTTTTGGAAGTGTGTACTAAAAAGCACTAAGTTTAAAACAGTTTGGCTTTAGGTGAACGGATGAAGCTGGAATTTCGAAATTTTGCAAATTTTTGTGTAGGCAGGGCTATTGGGTTCGTGGAAATTCGTACTGGGTTTTTGGAAATTCCTACTTAAAGGATACGAAAAGTATTAAATTGAATTAAAAATGAAAGCTGTGTCTGTGGAAAAACGGAATGAGCTAGAATTCTAAAATTTTGAATGAGAGTCACTGATGGAGTCCGGGATAGGTTGCGAAAAGTTCTAACTTGTAAAGAATAGAGCTAAATGCTTGAAATTTGGTATGAGAATCAAGGCTGGAAAATAAGTTTGATATATGAAGGTGGTTTCGGATATGTGTACTAAGTGTGCGAAATGTACTAAAGGGTACTAAATTTGGAACAGCTTGATTTAGGGTGAACGAATGAAGTTAGATTTGTATTGGGGTCAATGTTGATAGTTTAGTGATAAAAGGTGATTTTGAAAATGCGTTCTGCAAGTACGCGATAAGTGATAAATAGTACTATATTTGGCACAATTTTTTATTAGGTGAACAGATAGTGCTTGAAATCTTAAATTTTTGTATTAGGGTCGCTGTTCATATGTAGCCTGGACATATGGAGGTGGTTTCAGAAATGTGTACTATAATTGTACGAAAAGTACTACATAGTACTACATTTTGTATTGGGTGGAGCTGAAATCCTAAAATTTGATATAGATGTCACTGTTGGTGTCAGTGGCTAAGGTACGGAAGTTGTACCAAAATTATGTATGTGTACGAAAATTACTAAATAGTGCTAAATTTGGTACAATTAGGTGTTGGGTGATCAGATAGTGCTTTCAGGTTGAAATTTTGTATTGAAATTATGTATATGTGTAGGCTTGACATATTGGAGGTGGTTTTAAAAGTGTGTATTATAATTGTACGAAAAGTACTAAATGTTACTAAATTTGGTCTTGGTTAATGCGATAAAGATAAAATTCTGATACTTGATATTTGGATAACTGTTGTTATCTGAGGTTGAGATTTGAAGGTGGTTTAAATATGCTTCCCGAATTTGTACGTAAAGTACTAAATTTGGAATTGAGTGAATGTATAGAGCTGGAATCCCAAAATTTGATATTGAGGTCTCTATTGGTATCTGGTGTTGAGATTTGGTAGTGGTTTTGCAAATGCGTACTATAATTGTTCGAAAAGTACTAAATTATGCTAATATTAGTTCAGTGTTGGTGTGTAGAATGGAGAGATGGAGAAACATGTTATGTGGCGTTTCCACTGCACTTGATTCGCTCTCTATTCGTTGTTTGACCCTTAACTATGAAAAAACTACCTAATTCTTCACACAAAATTTCCTGAGCGAACACTCATATTTGTACGTTGTTCAAATCAAATCACTCTCAGAACAACGAAAAAATATGTCCCATCCCTAACAAATGAGAGCATTTATCGAAAAAATAAATTATGACATTTAAAAATTAAAAATAGAAAAATTTGATGAAATTTTAAAAATTTTTGGGAAGACTGAAAATTATGAATGAAAACTACAATGTTAAATGGCGTATGTACATTCAAACGAAAGTAAATTTTGTTTTCTCTCTCATTCGAGGTACGCATTTTGTCCATGAGTTAAAATTTCCACAGAAAACGCAAACAAAAGAGGCAACATTTTCAAAATGTTTCTATCGGCAGAAAAAATGTTTGACAAGTGTCTCTCCAGCAGAATTTAAAAATGGAAAAACACAAAAATGTGTTCAAAATGTCAACATTTACACAAAAAGTTGAAATCGTGAATGAAAATTGTAAAATTAATGATATAATAAATCTTCGGGAGGTAAACAATAATTTCTTCTATTCATATTAGTGGGAATTTAATGTATTTTAGTATAAATTCCCATTAAAATCAAGAAACAAAATTTTTGAAAAAAGGAATTATTTTACTATGAATTACGAATCGTGCCGTATGAACGGGTTAATTCGTGTACTTAATTCTGAGAGCGAACAACGTTGTTCGGTTTCCAGTGGAAACATGCTATTACTAAATTTGGTATTGGGTGAAGGGATAGGGATTTCAAATTCTGAAATGTCATATCTCGCAGTTTTTTCTAGGGTTTAGACGTTGAAATAGTTTTGGACAGAAAAATCGGAGGAGGGTTCATTGTGCAATGCTTTTACTAATATCCTCCTCGGTAAACTTCAAAATAAAAGATTTTGAAACTTTTTGGTGTAAAATGTAAACATTTTACTTACTTAAAAAAAAACAAAGACGAAAAAACGTGAATGTTTTAAAGAAAATTTCCAGAGGCTCTAAGAAGATGAGGATTTTTTTAAAGAAAATTCTCAGAAGCACTAAATAGACGTGAATTTTTTGAATGAAATTTCCAAAGGATATTAAAGTTCAATTTTCAAAAGGCTCTAAAAGAAAGCGTGACTTTTTCTAATAAAATTTCTAGAGCCTCTAAAAGGAAACAACATGTTCAGATGCTTTAAAAGGAGGTGCATTTTATAAGGAAAATTTCCGGAGGCTCTAAAAGGAAGTGCATTTTATAAAGAAAATTTTCAGAGGATTCAAAAAACATGGATTTTTTAAATAATATTTCTAAAAGTACTGAAGAGGCGCGTATGTTTCATAGAGAATTTCCAGAGGCTTTAAAAGGACTTGCATTTTTTTAAAGAACATTTTTAGACAGAGATTATTTTTAAAGAAAATTTCAAGATGCTCAAAAAGGTGCTGATATTTATTAGGAATATATCCAAAAAGCTCAAAAAGGTTATGGATTTTTAAGGAACATATCCAAAAGCTGCAAAAGGATATGGATTTTTTAGGAAAAATATCCAAACGGATGTGGATGTTTTAAAGAAAATGTTCAAAGGTTCTGAATCTTTTCGAAAAATATATAAAACTTTGAAAGTATGGAAATAAAGTACTGTGTATAAAGTTTTGATCAAATATTTATCAAACCGAACCAATTGGGGATTTTGAGTACTTAATGGACCTAATATGAACTGTTGGAACGAATCTAAAATTTTAAAGTGGACTTTTGGTTGAAGAAATAAAGGGCACTTTTTAGTTTAAAAATAAATATTGAAGCATTATGCCGCCTGTGTCCATAAAATGAACGCGATTCTTTTGTAATTTTGTTTGAGGCGCTTTGTGATCTGGAGAAAGAAAAAATATAATTTTATTTATGGATAAACTATGTATAAAATAATTGTCCAGACCTTAGAGACCTTAGCCAAATGTAGCTGCCTTTGCTTCACATTGAGATTTTTCGTAGTATTTTCTCTATTAAAAAGATTTGAGTTAACAATTACCTTTTAGAATATAAAAATTAAAATTTATGTCATTTTTTGAATGTTAAGAACTTTTTCTCTAAATTAACAAAAAATATGGCACTAGTAAGAACATAGTAAAAAAAACATATAAAAATCTACTTTAAAAAAATTAAAAAACTAGGAGATATCAATATTCGTTGATGCATTTACCTGTATTCTTCTACCATGGTCGGTACGAATAATTGATATCGTCAATAAATATCGAAATGGGTCTCATAGTAACCCCCAGGTCAATTTGGTTGTACAAATAGGTAACAATTAGTCCCGATTAGATTCAATGCTTGTCCATATTTTGATATAGTCATATAACGTTTCAGATTTTGAATAACTCAAACCCCAATTAGAATTTAGATTTTATCATGATAAAATTATACAGGTGGCCGCATCAACACAGATGCTGGTACAATAAGCTGTCAATTTTTTTTTTGGAATTCTAAATTTTTAACAAAAGATTATTTAAAATAGTGAAATTTGTTGAAAATCACATATCATACCAACATCTGAACGTATGAGAAAATCTTCTAAATTATAAATTATTTGAGATAATTATAAATTATTTGAGATACTTTTTTTGTATTCTTGTATTCCTGTATTCTTCTATCATAGATTTTACTATTTCTTGGCACTCAAATTTTGCATTTACTTGTATAAAAAAACGTTGTTTTTAAGTTTTTTTTTTTTTCATGGTTGTCTTCATCTTTCTTTTCAGCCAAACACCAAATGCCGTTTCAAATACTTTTTTTTAATTCTTCAAAACTCTTTGCTTTCTGATAATATTACACAACACCAAATCAAATCTGCTTTCTTTTAATTCATACACTTTGAAAATAATTTATGTATGTGGGTATATATTTTTTTTGCTGTTGTTAATGGCCAGCTAAACTTGATCAATAATTCGTAACACACTCATGTATGTTTGTATGTCCACACACGCACACATTGTTATTTTGTTTTCTTTTTTTCGTCGTTTTATTTTGATAACAGCAAGCTGTCACACGGCACACAACACTTCACATAGCCGTGATCGTCTAGTGGTTAGGACCCTACGTTGTGGCCGTAGTAACCCAGGTTCGAATCCTGGTCACGGCAATGTTCGCAGGAACATTGTCACGGGTGAAGTTTTTTTTATTATTTAAAATTTTTAATTGTTATGATGAAATTTTCGAGGGTTTTAAT